GTAGCCAACAGATCCCCTCTGAGTCTCCTCTTCTCCAGGCTGAAGAGACCCAGTTCCCTCAGTCTCGCCTCATACGGCCTCCCCTGCAAACCAGCCACCAACCTTGTGGCCCTGCGCTGCACTGACTCCAACCTGGCTATATCCTTCCTGTAATGAGGGGCCCAGAACTGAACACAACAGTCCAGCTGCAGGTGCACCAGAGTCGTACAGAGTGGCAGCAATCCCTCTCACGATCTAGAAGTCATGCTTCTGGTTGTGCAACCAGTACCCCAAGATCCTTTTCACAAGTGCTGCTCTCCAGCCACTTGTCCCCTAACCTGTACTTCTGACACCTATTCCTATGCCCCAACTGCAAGACCCTGCACTTATCCACATTGAACGCCATCCTGTTGAAAAAAGGTGCCGGAACGCTGTTCTGCTGCGTTCTAGGACAAAAAACGCACTGGTTTGATCACAGGGAGTGGCAATTGATCTTGAGCGCATGGTAGAGTCCCCCTTTATGCCCCTGATGACCAGGTGGCAATGACAGCTGCTCACCGGGTTGAAATTCCCGCCACAATTGGTGAGTGGCACATTTGAATTCAGGTAGCCCCCACACTTATCTGGGAGGCTGGGCTACCCAGAGGGAGGGCTGGGAACTTCTGCAGAGTGACTGCTAAATCCTGGACCATGCGGAGGCTCCGGTTACACTCATATTTAAGACTTGAGTGCTTGGCCAGCCTGCCCAGGTTTAGTGCTGGCCAGCCAGGCGTGTCCTGCTCTGGGCACGGATGCCCTCCAAAATGTCCTTCGGAGAGAGAGAGTGAGGACACGACGAGGGCCTCGCTGAGTCACTCAGGTCAAGCTGGTCCCTCTCAGGGACGGGTGTCAACTTCACTTCCGTGGGTCCAATCCAGCCCACATGGGCCCCATTTCCCAGGGCGCTCCGCAGGACCGCCTCAGGCCTCCTTTCCCCCAGCCAGCCAGCCACTGCTTGGCCTTCAGGCGTCTCTCTCCCATTTTACATGGCTGAAATGCCTCCACTAAGAGTCTGAGCTGGTCACACGGGTATTTTGCCCCCTTCCACCTTGGCCTGGTCCCCAGCAGCTTCTCTGGCCTGGAATTTGGCCCTCGGTCTGAAAGACGTGCCCAGTTCCAGCAGGTGGCCAACCAGAAGCCTCTGGAAGGCACAGGAGGAGGACACGAAGGTGGCAAGAGGGTGAAGGGGGCTCGTGCAGCTGCCGCAGGTCGGCCTACGCGGCTCAGCCCTCCGGAAGGGGCCCTACCGCCACTCCAGCTGAAGGCTGCAGCCCTACAAGCACTTACTGCGGGCTGGGCCCTGCCGCCCAGCGGGACTTGTTGGGTGGTCAAGGACAGGCTGGACGTCCACATGGTGGGCATGTCGTGAGCGGAGCCGGCTGGTGCCAGAGGTCAGACTAGATGGCCCGGGAGACCCCTTCTGACTCGCTCTGTTTCTGTGTTTCTATGCTCAGAACCAGGCTTCAGCGCCCTTTTTTTGCAGGTGAAATCCCCCCCCCACCAAAAAAAAAACCCAACCTGAAATTACTTTTTAGAAAAATTGGAACTCTGCAGCCTGGGTCAAGCCGAGCCACGGCGTGCTGAACAAGAATGGCTTGGCTTGGCTTGCCTGTCTGTGCTGCCCTGGGCCGGCTGACTGGGAATGATGGGAGCTGTAGTCCAATACCTCTGGAGGGCGCAGGTAGGGGAAGGCTGCTCGGGAGGAGCCGGCAAACCAGGCCTGCCCCCTTGCCTGCCCCTGCTTTGTGCTGCCCAAAAGGAAGGCCGAGTCCCCAGCAGATGGAGCCAGTGTCCACACCTCCGCGCTTCCCTGGCCTTCCCGAGTAGGCCTTCACAATTTAAATGCTGATCAATAAATTAAAGATAAAATTGGATGTTCTGCAACATTGGGCCCAGTTGCTGGGCAGGGTCGCAGCCTGGCCATGGAGCCAGGCTCTGGATCAAGGGCGCTTGTGCCTCAGCCTTCAAGGGACTTGTCCAGTCACCAAGTGGCCGGGTGGACTGGAGCGGGGAGGCTGGGAAACAGTTTGCAAGTCTGCATCCGCGCAGGATTTTAATCGGCGGCTTTGAAAAGACACCGTGGCTGCTGTGGCAGAGAAACGCTTGTATCAGCCAGCATTAAGCAACGGGGTAGGGTGGGGGATCAGGTCCTTGGGGGAAAAGAAGAGAAGCACTCCAAATTTCAGGACGCGGCAATCTAGAAAGACTTCCTGCAGTCTCCCGGAGTTCACAGTGGGTCGTGCTCCTGAGTTGCACTCTGAGTTGCACTCTCGGCTACCTGGCTGTGCCGGACAAGAGTTTTATCTCTACTTGGGTTCCTAAACGTTAGTTCCCTTCCTGTCCTGGTTTTGTTTTGACTAACTGATATTCAAAACAATATCTTCCCAAGAACAGACTGTTCTTTTCCAGCCTACTAATTCACATCTGTGGGATATCCAATTTTGTATGTTTGAGGAACAAGACAGTTTGAGTTTTGGTGCTGTTGTTCTCTGCCGTCAAGTCCCCCCTGGACTTGGCAACCCTGCGGATGAGTGACCTCAAGAATGCCCGGCGTAGCCCAGCTTCGGTAAGTTCTAGGCTGCAGCCTCCTTTATGGAAACAATTCACCTCACAGCTGGTATCTCCCTTCTTTTGTCTTTGCCTTTTGTTCATATCATAGAATCATAGAATAGTAGGGTTGGAAGGGGCCGTGAAGGCCATCAAGTCCAACCCCCTGCTGTTGCAGGACACCAGGTTACACCACCCCACTCAGAGGGCTGCCCAGTTTCCCCTTGAATGTCTCCAGTGTGGGAGAGCCCTCCGCCTCTCCAGGCAGCTGGTCCCACTGCCATATTGCTCTGACAGTGAGGGAGCTTTTCCTATGTCCAGCCTGAATCTTGTGTCACAGCTTGACTTGACTATTCTGTGTCCTACACTCTGGGATCAGCAAGAAGAGATCCTGACCTTCCTCTTTGTGGCAGCCTTTGAGGTGCTTCTAGAGGGATACCATGCCCCCCTCAGTCTTCTCTTCTCAAGGCTGAACAAGCCCAGTTCCCTCAGTCTCTCCTCACAGGGCAGTGCTTCCAAACCCTGGATCATGTTTGTCGCCCTCCTCTGGTCCCTTTCGAATTTGCCTGCATATGCTTGTCTTCTTCAGCGAGCAAAGGCTGACAGCCGCAGTGTTGTCATTTTGATCCCAGGGCAAGTTCTGGCTTGATTTGACCCAACTTGTTTGTCCTTCTGGCAGTCCAGGGGCTTCACCAAGCTCCCCTCCAGCACCATGCTTCAAATGCATCCTTTTTCTTCCTTTCCTCTTTCTTCACATTGTCCAGCTTCACACTGTCCAGCTTTCACAGTGGGAGGACAAGAGTGTGGATGACCTTGGCCTCAGCCTCCAGTGACATGTCCTTACACTTGAAGATCTTCTCAAGCCCTTCAAAACCTCAGTCTTGGCTGCCATCTTTTCCAAGTCTTGAATTTCTTGGCTGCCGTCTCTGAATTGGTGAATTTTCTTAACTCTCAATGAGTTTTTGTAGTCACCAAAAAGGCATCATTAAACCACAAACTTTCTGCATCTCTGGGCATAATCCTGGGCATGCCCAGGCAGAAAAATGTTCTCCTGCCTAAACGTGCACGGGGTTACGCCCTCCTCCTGGGACGTTGCTGGCCAAAACCAGGTCTGCTTTGGAGGAGAGAGTGCTGCCAAGCCCACGCAGCACCCGGAGCGCCTCCGGCTTGCAATTCACAAGTAAAGTGTTAGGCTGCTTCCCAGTCATTGGATGACCTGCATCCCAGCCCCGTCCCCCAGCGCCTGGGCCCGCTGCCCCCTCACCTGCCCTCCCGTGCCGGCATCTGCCGCCGAAGCCATTGTCTCACCGGGCCTCCCTGTGGCGGGATCCCTGCCAGAAAAGAGCTGGCAACCAGCGCCCCCTGCTGCTGCTCATGCACTCTGCAGACCCTTCCCCGGCAGGGTCGTCCCCCCGCCCCCCCGCCATGTGCCGCTGTTGTTGCTGCTGTTGTATATTTCATTTCTCTACTGCCCAAACGGCTCTCTGGCGGTTTACAACAGGACATCACAAAATACCATATAAGCTACATCCTGTTAAAATATACCGTGTCACCGTAGACCGGGGCGGCCAGGCTCGCTCAACAGAAGAGCCCCACGTGGGAAGTACCAGGTGCCTGAGAGCCGCAGGTGGCTGCCTGCAGGCAGCGACTGGCAAGCAGGCGCCCGTGGGCCGCGGCCGTGTGTGGCAAGTGGGTGCTCATGGGTGCCCACCGGTTGTGAGTCACAAGCTGCAAAACAAACGCAAAGAGCTGTCTGCGGCTCCTGAGCCCCGGTTTGGCCACCCTGCCATACACCACATTAGACTTCATAAGCAGCTTACTATTCAAAAACTAAAACCAAATTTAAAACAGATGGGAAAGTTCCACCAACTTAGCCTGAACACTCTGTAATGAGGCTTTTACACCTCCACTTTCCCAAGGCTTCTGCTTCTGGATTCTTTGCAAGAAGAAGAGCAATTTATACTGTCCTAATCATAATGTAATAGCAGCAGCAGCAGCAGCAGCTTCTTAACGTGTCCTGTTTCACAGGGTTTTTCTTTCTCTGCCTTTCTGTAGCTCCCAGTAAACACCCCGGAGTGCCTGCAGTCCAGCGGAGGCGGAAGACACGCCACCTGTGTGAGGCCGCACCATCCTCACCCTCGCGGGGGGGCAGGGCATGGGCGGCTGCCGGGCGGCCCGCACTCGCCGGCCCGCTCTTCGTGAGGGAGGGTGGGGAGCCGCAAGAGCCTCCCAGGAAAGCCGGAAGCTCCTCGGGAGCAGCCAGGGCATGCCCCCGGAGTTCTGCAGCTGGAGCGCGCTCGGCATGGCCCACCCGCCCCTTGCGGGCCCCGGGCCCCCCCACTGCTGCCAGCTGGAGGAGGCTGTCACAGAGGCAGGGGTGACATCACAACATCTCCCCCTGCCCCCAGCGGCCCTGGCCAGGGAAAGGCGGGACCATGCCGGGCAGGCAGGAGGGGCCACGGAAGACCTCAGGTCAGTGGGTCGCTGCCCCAGGGGCGGCTTCGGGCACCAGCACGCGTCCGGAGCAGCAAGCCCAGCCCCGGGAACTGGCTGGCCAGCGGGCCGGAGAAGCCGGCTTGGGGCCTGGCGGAGGCTTAAGAGCCGAGCTTGGTGCCCGGCTGCAACGCGGGTGGCTAGGAGGGCTGCCCCTCTGCTCCCGGCCTGGCACGCCCTGGCAAGCCCTGCTGGCGGGCCTCACCCCCTTCCAGCCCTGCTCTAACCACGCATTGCCCCCTCGCAGCCCTGCAAGCGGGGAAGATGATGAACGAGCCGAGGCCGCCTGCCCGTCGCGCAGGCCACCGGGGCCTCTTCAACACCGTGATGGGGCCCCTCCAGCGTCAGCTCCGCTCGGGCGAGTACAACCTGTTCAGGTGCGCCACCTTGTTCGAAAGCGACTTTGTCCAGGTAAGAGGGCCTGGGAGGCGTCGGACGGTGGAGGGCGCCAGGGGTTCCGCCCCACTGGCCCTGGCCAGTAAGGCCCACGGCCGGGAGTTCCAGGGGTTACAGTCCAGAAGACCGAGGGGGCACCGGTGTGGCGGGTGCAGGGGGCTTGCTGCCCAGAGCCCACGGGGGCTCCGGCTCCCATGACCAGCACAAGCCACTAGGGTTCATCACGCTAGGCCAGGGGTCTAGTGAGCCCAGCTTCCCCTGTCCTGACTGGGGACGGTGGGAGTCGCAGTCCAGGGCAGCTGCAGGGGGCCTGGTGGAGGGCGGCTGGCCTGGCCCACCTCTGTCTCTTCACCGGCCGTATCTCGGAAGGCCTTTCCCAGCACGGCTCCCGGAGGTCCCTTCTCTGCAAGCTTTCCGTGTGCAGAGCGGGCGGCCGCTCGGGGTCTGCACCGCCTCCCCGCCGGGACAGGGAGCAGCCTTGGGTGGGTTTGCCCAGCACCACCCCAGCGGCTGGGATCCTTTTGATCTGCCCTGCCACGAATCAGTCCGTGGCTCAGTGGCTGCGGCGCTGAGCCACGGAAGCAGGAGGACCACGGTCGGCCCAGTGGCGCACCAGCCAGTGCTCCTCCACCAGGGTCTCCGGCGGGGCCTTTCCCATACCCGGCCTGCCGGAGCCGGCGCCACCGGTCACCCCGCAAGGTGCATGCAGACCTGCGCGCAGGCGACTGATCCTTGGTGTTGCAGGTCAGCAAGCGCGGAGGCACGCTTGACGTCCACAACCAGGTGCAGCTGGTGCGGGTGGCCATCGCTGCCACGAGCCCCAGGCTCCGGGTCCCCAACGTCCTGCTCCTGGCCCGGCCCGTCTTCCCTCCAGAGCAGCAGCTGCAGACCCGCCAGGCCCGGCTCCGCCACAGCACTGCGAACATGAAGTTTGAACTCACCAGGTGAGGCCACACCGCTTGCCCACCCTTCCAGCCCCAGGCAGGCGCTTCCTCCGTTGCAATGTGCCCGAGCTCGAGGGCGCCATCTCCCAGCCTCATTCTGGTGCTCCGTACAGCGTCCGTCTCCCGTCGCAGAGGGGGCTGCCGCCACTCCCGGCGTCCGAGAAGCCTTGCCAAGCCGGCCTCCCTGCCGAATGGCTTCTCGCCCGGGCCCTCCGTCTCCCGCCGCTTTCTCCTTCACTCTGTAATGGCCAGAACAGGAGCGGCAACAAGCAAGTAAGCTTTTCGAGAACGGCTGAGGCACTTGGCAAGGCTTTTCAGGAAGTCCTTGGTACAACCTCTGCTCCGTAGTGAGACGATGACGAGCGCTTGGCTGCTTCGTGTCATTCGTGGCCCCCAAGGATGGCACTCAAAGTGGACTGTGCAGCCTTCCTGAGATGCAGCCCAAGGACCTGGGGTCAAACCTTGGCTCTGATCAGAGCCACGGAGCAGTTCAGCGTTCGCAAAGGTTATGCTATGCATTCCTCTTTCCTTTTTTGGCCGCCATTCTCAGCAGGAGCCATCTGGATTAGGCCTGATAAACAAGTGGGCTGTAATCAGCTTAGATATCGCTCTTATTAGTATTATTATTTTAAATATTCACAGGCCACTGAAGCCAGTTCTCACCACAAATTTTAATTAGAAAATGCATAACACAGGTTAGACCTCATCTGGAGTCCTGAGGACTTCAGCCACAGTTGAAGAAAGATGCAGACTGGAAAGAGCTCAGAGGAAGGCAGCAGGGATGATCCGGGGACCGGAAGCACAGCCCTGTGGGGGGAGATGGAAAAAACGGTCCATGTTTAGCCTCGAGAAGGGACCGTCGAGGGGAGAATTGATAGCCTTTCAGATACTTGAAGGACAAGGTCATCCCAGAGTTGCAGGCATGGAATAAGGGGCTCAAGCAATGGGGGCCAGATTCTGGGTGGACACCAGGAAAACACACGCCTGTAATGGGGCAGTGGAGCCAATGACCTCGGGAAATGGTGGGCGCTCCCACCCTAGAGGCAGTCGAGGCAGCTGGACAGCCGCCGGAGTGGGATGGCTTGACTGGGAGCCCCGCACTGAGCAGCGGGTTGGACCTGAAGCTCCTCTGCCCCCATCCAACTCCACTGTTTTCTGATTCTACGAAAATCAGTAGTAATCCAAAAAACCCTGCCCTCTGAAACAAGCAGCAGCAGTTTAACATCTCTCTTTTGAAAACCTCAGCCAGTTTCAGACTAATCAGTAAACTGAACAGTAGTTTAAAATGCTGATGATGTGAAAACATTTACCTCCGGGGAGTGTATCCTTTCAGTGCATAAGCCTGTGGGCTGCCGTTCTCTGTCTTCCAATATTTTTGCGGGGTGCCTGGTGATGACTCCGGGTATGCGAAGCAGTATGTGCACTGACTGAATAAACACCGTCATAAATAAGCCAGAGGGGATTTCAGTGCTGGCCCCGGTTGTCTTGCCGTCTGCATGAGGGAGCCCTGGGAAGGGGGGTCCACCTCTTCTGGGGGGCAGGCGTGCTGCTTGGGGGTGCTTCTCTTTCCAGCCAGCGGTGCTGTGAACACCCGTGCGTTCTCGGCGTGGGCTGAGCTGGTGGCAGTCGTTCAGACCCAGGCACTTTCCACCGTGTTGGTGGGAGCAGGTGGCGCACCGGGCTCAGGCCGAGGCTCCCGCTTGGCTTCGGGGTCCAGTTCTCTGTGCTGGCGTAGAGCCGCAAAGCGCTCAGCCTCCTGGACGCGAGGGCCGCACGGCGCAGGCCGTTCCTCGCTCGCAGCCTGCCAGTTCTCGCAGGTCTCTTCTGATAGCCCATCGGTCGCTGAGGCCCCATCGGTGCGGGTGTGCAAGGATAGGCTAGACGTCCACACGGTGGGCATGTCGTGAGCGGAGCCAGCTGGTGCCGGAGGTCAGACTAGATGGCCCGGGACGCCCCTTCTGACTCGCTCTGTTTCTATGATAAGTCCCCTGACCATGCGGGGGACACTGCCTTTTTGGCTGCTGCACCCCAGTGCTGGTGGAAGGCTTGCCTGCTCCCTCCTTGCGTTCAGAGGAGGCAGGAAACCGCGTGCCTTTGGAATGGGGCTTCTCAGCCCAAGCCATTGCTCCGGCCTGCTGCATTATTTTTTATTTACTTTTTTGTTACGATCATGAACCTGGATTCCCTCTACTATTGTCCACACCTGCAGGCGAGGACGTTGCAACCTCAGTGGGTTGAAAGGCAGCAAGGGGGCGGGGCCAAGAGGCGGCAGAGCCGTGGGCGAGGGCCAGGCTGGGCAGCAGGCCTGGGTGGGCTCACGCAGCGGCCCTTCTCCTTCCGCCCCCCACGCCCCAGGCTCCTTCCCTTGTGCTTTGTCAAGATCTCCATCCACGACCTGGAGAAGCAGCAGCTTCGGTTCAAAATGGCCACGGGACGCACCTTCTACCTTCAGCTCTGTCCCCAGCTGGACAGGCGGGCTGGCAACTTTGACTCCTGGGTCAAGGTCGTCCACCTGCTGAGGCCGCCCTTGGAAGCCGCCCAGGCACAGCAGGAGCAGCCCGGCGGAGAGCCGGCCCTGTGCACCGCGGAGGTGGGTCCCTCGCGCTCGGAAGCGGCCCTGCCGGGCTGGGGCCTGGCACCTGGGGCGGGGCGGGGGGCAGGGCGCAGGCCACCCGGCGGCACAGGTGACCCCATAGCCCCCCACAATCCCCTTGTGAGCCCCTGCCTCGCCCCATGCTGGGAGGGCTGCCCGGCACGTTGGCAGGCGCCCGGCTGGGGGAGGCTGCGTGCTGCACGCCCACCCGCGTTTCAGAGACAGAGACGAGCGGGGCATCCACGCTTCCTCTTCCGTCATAATTCGGAAGGGTGGCCCTGCCGTATCTGAGCACGTCCACCGCGTCCCGCGCCAGCAGTTCACGGGACTCCACCAGCAGGACAAGGGTGCAGCAACACTGCTCGACCCATGTTCCCCAGCAAAAGCTGCGCCGAGGCCGACAGGAAGGAATGTGCAGCCATCAGGACTAGTGGCCACGGACGGCTTCCCCCTCTGTGGATTTGTCCAGTTTTCTTTTAAAGCCGCCCAAATCAGCAGCCGCCCCTGCGACTGAGCCGTTGCGAACTGTGAAGAAGGCCGTCCTGCCCCCGGCTCCTCGCAGCAGTCAAGGGAAGGAGGACGCTCCCTTCCTGGCCGCTGTCTCCACACGGGCATCACACGCGTGTCCCGTCTTCTCTCTCAGCTCTTGCACCTTCCCTCTGCTTCAGCCCCGGGATCATTTCTGCGGCTCTTCTCTGCAGTTTTCCAGCCCACGAAATCCTTTTCTTTAGGGGGTGGCCAGAACGGTGCACAAAGTTGTCAGTGCAGCTGCACCAGGAATTTGTGTAAGGGCAATATTACATGGGCGGTTTTATTTCCAGCATCTTTCCTAATTCTGCCTGACACGAAGGTTGCACTTCTCACGGTAGCCACACGCTGGGCCGCCGGTTTTTCTCAAGCCGGCCGTTGCAACTGCAGGCCAGGATCCTTCCGGTGGCCTGTGGCTGCCAGGTCCAGTGCCATCAGCTTGTCGTCCTGGAAGGTGGGGTTTTTGCCCCGGGGACATCACTTGGCTCTGGCTTCCACGGAATCACACCTGCCATTTGGATGCCCGTTCCCCCAGTCTGGCAACCTCCCCACAATCCTTGCTGGATTCAACTTCCCAAAATAGTTTGGTGTCGCCAGTGGACTTGGCTAGTTCACTGCCCACTCCTAAGCAAAGATCATTTATGAGTGAGCAGAAAGCGCTGGCCCCCAAGCAGGTCCCTGCGGGATCCCCCAGGAGAAGGAGCTCTTTCTTGCTGCTCTCTGCTTCTGCCGTTTAACCTCTCAAGGAAAGGTGCCCGGCACCCGCTCCCCCCGCAAGCGGTCGCCCCGGGCTCTCGGGCAGCTGTGCTGCAAGCAAAAGCGGAGGCGGCCCCGTGCGCGGAGGGGCTGCTTCTCCCGCAGATGCCTGTTCCTCAGGCTTCTTCCCGGGCCGCCCGTTCCGTCTGCTTCCCTGCGGAGAAGCGCTGCACTGCCCACGGCTGCCTGCTGAGCAGGCGCACTTCCCAGATCCAGGCATTTCCGCTGGAGGAAGGGGAGGACCGGGTGGCCCTGCTTCTCCCTTTGCTCCCCGGAGCGCTGCTGCCGGGAGGGACAGTGGTGGGGGAGGTGTGAGGGAAGGCAAAATCCCCCCCAGTTGCCCACCCTGCCCCTCAGCTGGAATCTGCGCTCCATCACAGGCCCTTCGGCTCATGCACGGGAACTGAGCTGCGGAGGAGGAGGAAGCCAAAAGACCTCAGCGAGGCTTCTGAACAGGCCTGTTGCAGAGAAGCTGTGTTGCACAGTGGTTAGAGTAATGTACAGGGACTCAGGAGTCCCAGGGTCTAGTCCTCGCGGGGTGACTTGGGGCCAGTCACAGACTCTCAGCCTAACCTACCTCTCAGGGCTGTTGTGAGAATCAATACAGGGGAGAGGATCACGTACACTGCCTTGAGCCTCTCGAAGGACAGCCAGGACATGAACAGGTGAACAAGCACGCATTGTCTCCATGCACCCAAAGTCAACTGAGGGAGTGACTTGCTGGGAACCGGGAAGGAGCATCTGCTCCTTCCTGGGCTACTGGGGAGGCAGCACGGAGGAGAGCTGCAATTGCTGAGCAGAGACCGGCACCCCAGAATCGAACGACGGCCTGCAGGAGAGGGAGCGAAAGGGAGCAGGCCGAGGCGCCTCCTCCCACTGCTGCCCTGTTCTGCCCACCCAGAGCCCGGTGCTCCAGAGCGCGGAGGAGAGGGAGTGCAGCGTGGCCGATGTCCTCAGCATCCTGCAGGAGGAGGCTCCGGGGGAGCAGAGGATCCCGGCGCAGCTGTCCGAGAGCCTGAACAGCATCCCCGGCCCCATGCCCAGCCCGGAGGAGCCCCCCGAGTGGGACAGCCCCCCGCCGTCCGAGGGGCAGGCCTCCAAGGAGCTGCTGCCGTCCTCCAGAGACAGCAAGGCGGGGAAGCATAAGGACCGCTCTTCCTCCAGCAGGTACAGCAGGGACCGAAAGGGGAGCCGGCAGGGCCAATCCAGCAGAGTATCCTGTTGGAAAAGGGGTGGGGGGGTGCGGTTCTGGAAGGTGGAGGAGAAGTCTTAAGCACCCAGCCAGGGTGTTTGGGCCTTCATTCAGCAAAACGGGATCCACGTGGCACCTGCCGGCTCCGCTTTCACTGCACGTGAGGGCCATTTGTTAGAGGTAATTTAAGTGCCTGCCCACCTGCTCCGCAGTTTCTCCTTCGACACAGACCCGCACGTTCCCTTCTTGCTCTCCGCGGCAGGTATTCCTAGCCCAGGTCAGGGAAGAGCAGGCGGGAGGGGGCTCAGCTGGGGGTGCCCGGCATCTGACCAAAGCTGTGCCCCTTTCAGGAAGAGGAGCACCCGGAGCAAGTCAAGGAAGTCACGCAGAAGCCACTCCTCGAAGAGAGGTAAGGACGTGGGGCGGGGCTCCCCAATCACCCCCCCCCGGACACAGAGGGGCAGGCCCACCTCCACAAGCAGCCCCGCTGCCCACCTGTACATGTGAAAATGATGGGAAGGTTTTTTCTCTCTCTTTGTACCAATGCTCTCTCACTGTTTGACTAGCTGTACATTTTACACCTTTTGTCCATAAGGTTTCCCACTGGCAGCAAGACAACCCTTCCTCAAAGCTCTGCATCCGTCTTATCATATACATTCTGGCTTGTTCAGTTTCAGTAGCATATTGCATTAATTGCTGGTAAATCCATCCCGGGAAGTGATCCTTTTGCTGCAAAATCAGCTTTTCATGTTCTATCAGGTCTCTTCCTGTTTGGATTTCCCTTTTCAGTCTTGAAACTATTTGAAAATAGAGAAGCCATTCTATCTTTTTCCCTTTATCTTTTGGGTTTTGCCAAGGCTAAATTCCTCCTTGTTGATCAGTTGCATCTCCATATGTTATAAAATCATTGCTTTTCCCTCGATGCTTCTCTGTCATGGAAGGCTTCTGTTGGAGACATCAGGGAAGAAATAGGAAGATCTTAATGGCTTCCACACAGGACTGGGCAGGACGGTAGCAAGCTCTGGGCCCAGCGGGTCCCAGGCTCAAAACTGTTTCTTGGGGACCCAGATCTGTTCCCTGCAGCCCAGTCTGTCCATTAATGCAAGCAGAAGGACTTTTCCCCAGTGCTTCTACCATGCAAGGGACAATTTTCAAGGGTTGGCAGCTGGGGTGCAAAGGGTTAACTGTGCTGCAGCTGCACCCCCCCCTCCATGAACACACACTTCCCCCCTGCACATCTTCAAGCTTGGGGCGAGGAGATTTTTCCACTGGTTTTCTTGCCAAATTATTTAAGAATTTGCATTATGGAGATGATTTGGATAACATTATTTGGCTCCCTTGAGCACCTGTGAAATTTAAAGACATTCCAGCAATTATTCCTATTTGACTAAACAGATTTTTGGAGAAGGATGCCCTGCAGGCTGGGTTCCCAAAACTTGTAAGGGGCTGGCAACACCCTCTGCGCAGGATGTTCTGCTGGCACACGGAAAACCAGGGGAAGAGGAGGCAGGTAGACCCAAGGTGGCCGGAGGGGCCGCAAACGCACGCCGGGTGTCCAGCGGGGAGCCAAAGGGAGCTGCAGCCTCAGCGAAGGCCTGGATCTGGCAGGAACCCCGCCCCCCAGGAGCAAAGGATCCCCCTTCCTGCCAGGCCTGGTCCAGGCCTGTGCTTCCACAGGCCTTCCCTCCTCCTGAGTCGCCTCGCAGGCGAGGGAGCCTTGTGTGTTGCTCTGGGTGCAGCCCCACAAGCCGCGGAGCTCGTTGATGCTGCAGCCCCCCTGGAGGGAAGGGAGGGAGCCAGCCGCTGGGGCACAAACAGGCCCCGGGGGGCCTGCAGGAAGCCCTGCAGGGCCGTGGCAGGAACACTGGGCCAGGGCCCTGCAGGGAGTTCTCAGGCATGGGAGGTGCCCGTCCTGCTGCCCCTCTTCCCCTCTAGGATCTCAGGGTTTGGGCATGGTCGGATCCAGAGAGAAGTACCTCCGCAAGGACCCTCACATGAGAAACGCCCCTCCCTATTAGATTGGAGCATGTTTTCAGAGGAAGGTGGGGCAGTTGCTCAGGGCAGCGAGCGAACAGTGCTCTGTCGGTGCCCAGAGGTACTTTATCATGGGATATCTGTTCCCAACTGTTTCTTTAAAGCGGACCTGTTGATTTTAGGACCTGGCACTTGGGTGTGGTTTTCCTTCTTCCGGGCCGTTCCTTTGTTCTTGCACACCCATGTGTTTCACAAGCACTTTCCTGCCCATTTGAAAACAGCTTCTATTCTCTTTTCATTGTCCTGCGCCAGATGAAATGATGAAATGCATAATCCGGCACAGGAGAAGCGCTTCCCAAATCCCTGGCCTATGAAAATGCCTTGCCAGAGTAGAGGGCAGGGCAGGGGCAAGTGCGGAGTGCCCCCCCCCCCCCGGCCCCCCAGCCCTTCTCCTCCCTCCCTCCCTCCCTCCCTCCAGCTGCCAGCCGGAGTCCCAGCAAGATCTCGTCTCTCTTCTTGGGCTCTTTCTCCAGCGCCAGCCACAAGCCCCGCAAGGGAGCCGCGAAAGGCAAGGAGAAGAAGCGCTGAGCAGCCAGAAAGGGGGGAGCCCTTCCTCCCCTCCAGCCATCCCATACATTAATAAAAACAATGGCTAGAAAACACGCCCGCCCCGGCTCTCCGGCTCCCAGCTGCGGCAAGTGGGCGGCCTCTGACCTGGACGGAGCGCACTGGGCCAGTCTGCCATGGGGCCTTCTCCCAGTCTTAGGCTGTCACTGTTTGGAGGACGGATCCTGCAGCTGCAGCAGCAGCAGGTCAAGAAGCTCAGTGGGACTGCCCTGAGCCCTGGCGGGTGAGGACTTTGTCTTGCAACCCTTGCGGTGGCCTCTGGGTAGAGGGGGGCTGGGTGCTCCACTGGATGCAGCAGGGCCCCACTTCTGGTCACAGAGGCTGTCCCCCCCGGCCCGTGTCTCACACCTGCAAGCGCAGTCCGCCAAGCAGTGCTGTGCAGCAGCGGCCTCCTGGAATCGGCCTACCCAGCGGCCGGGGAGCCCCACCTGAGCGGGAGGTGTGAGGTGGTGTCCTGCACCGGCAGGGGCTGGGCTCGACGGCCTGCTTGGGCCCCTTCCCGCTCGGCTGTTCTGCGATCCTTTCCGCTGGCCCAGGTTCTGGTGGCAGAGCCTTTCTTTCCGCCAGGCGCCCCTTGTGTGGAGTGCCGCCCTGAGCGGCAAGAGGCGCGCTTGTGGGCCCCGCTGCACCTCTGCTGCATCGCCCATTCCCAGTGCCGTTCCAGGGCGGAAGTCGAAGAAAAGGAAGGAAATCCCGCAACATGGTCTCTATTTCTGGGGTGGGTGTTTAAAGATGATCTCAGAAATGTTCAAGAAAAATGTTTCTGATGCAGATGCAAATGATGCCATCCCTTCCCAGAAGGCCCTGCAGCGGCCTTGGGGGCAGAGCAGTCTGGCGTCCAGTGCTGGGAAAGGGGCGGAGCTGATGCTGACCTGGGACCTGTCCACCAATTTCCCAAAAGTCTCTTTCGCCAGGAAAAGGCTTCCAGGCCACTTTTCTGACAGCCATTTAGGATGTATTTTGAATTCCTTTTGGTGGTGATTTTGAGCCTTTTTTGAGATGCTGGATTTTTCTAGTATGTGTCTCCCCATCATTCCATACCCTTGAGGACTTTAGCTGACGGTCGCTGGAGACAACTGTACATTAAAAGACAGAATTCTCACGCACATTCCTCAGTCACAAGCGAGCACTCCCGATCCATCGACAAGGAACAGTCCCGTGAGCGCTGCGGCAGGAAGCCAGGCCGGGTTGTCCATGTGCTGCTCCAGCAAGAGGCATGCCAACACGGAGCCTTAAGTAGGAGGCGCTCCGCATTCCGGCTGCTTGGCTGCAGCTTCGTCTGCTGAGGAGCCAAGCTTGTTCCTGAAGCTTCATGCAGCAAGGACCCTTGGGGCTGTAGTCCTCCGACACTAAAGCTGGCTTCCTGGCTCAGGGATCTTCCCGGGGTGCCGGGTCCTGGTTGGGGGGTCTCACAACGCCCTTCCACAGCCCACCTGTTCCCTGCAGCCTCCTCAGCGGACCAGGGGCCCGGAGCCTCGCTCGGGCCCTCCCTGCTTCCAGCCCGGCCTGCAGGGTTGGGCTACCTCTGGAGGGGTTTCCGGCGCGCCAGGTTCTGAGGCGGTGCTCGGCTGCCTTCTGGCCCTCAGCTCCTGCAGCCCTTTGCTGAGTCTGTCCTGCTCGCCAGGCTCTTTCCAGCCTCAGCGTGAGGCTCCAGCTTTCCCACTGAGAGCATCTCAGCTGCACCGGAGCAGCTGGATCGGGCCGAGCTCCCTCTCGTTCAGCATTCTGGCCATGCAGCGGCAACCAGCTGTCTCCAGTAAACTCGGGCACAGCCCGGGAGTGCACGAACTGCACCTCTTCCTGGTGGGGGTGCACAGATGGACCCTCTCTGAGGCATCCGGGCTGCTAGCCTTGGCTAGCCCCGCCTCCAGGTGCTGGTCCAACCCCCTTTAAAGCCATCCAGGCTGCTCCCATGGCAGTGAATTCCACCGTTTAGCGGCACGCTCTGTGACGAGGGGCTTCTTTGGTCTGTCCTGAGTCTCCCGCCATTTGGCTTCATGGGGGGGGGGGGTCACTTTGGCATCCAGTATTGTGGGAAAGGGAGAAACATGTTTCCCTCAGCCCCCTTGAAAGCATTTTGCATGCCTCCCTTCTCATGCCTCCCCTCCCTCACCCTTTTTCTGTGCTGAAGATCATTGGAAGTGATCCTGCTGGAGGCTAAGCAGCCCCTCGTCCTCCTGGTGGCCCCCCCTGCACCCTCAGAGCCCTTCCTCTGTGTCCTCCTGCCCTTCTGAGTTCATTCTGGAGGACTGACAGCTTTTTCGACCTGGGATGTTCTGGCATTGCAACATGAAACTCACTGGGGGAGTTCGGGCAGTCCCTCCTCACAGCCTAACCTACCTCACAGGATTGGCGTTGTGAGGATGAAGAGGAGTGCGGGGTAGCTATGCAAGCCGTCTCAGGTTCCCCACAAGAGGAAAAAAGGAGGGATACCAATGCAATGTAATGATAATGATAAACCAGCTTGGATTCACTTTATAAGAAAGGCGGGGCAGAAGTATTTCAAATACATGAACACATAGCAGTGAAATTAACCAAATGCCTGCCTATGAATATATGTTAATGGGGACAGCAGCAGAGGCTTCAGGGTGGAAAATGGCACTCGTCCTGGCGAGCGGATCCGTCCTGGAGAGCCTTTGCGCTGCGGAAGAGCCCTTCCGGCCTTGGGGCAGCCCGCGGGGCAGCCTCAGCCCGGGAGTTCCCGGGGGCAGCCCTGGCAGTCCCGCCTGCGCGCTGGCCGCCGGGCCGGGCCGGGCCGAGCCGAGGCGCCGCACTGCGGCGGGCCGCCGGCAGGGGGCAGCGTGGCCCGGCCGGCGCGC